GACTGCCCCGATTGTACACACAGCATGTCACTGTTTTATACCAAGCGGCTGTCTCTTATTGCAGATCATAACCATTTGTTAAGAAAAATATATGTTTGTAATGTATTACTCATTGTTAATCAATGGTTCCATGTGGTTATCATGTCCAATAATCCAGTGTCATTATGAAGAAGATGTTGAACTATTTACATTACTACTCATCAGTCGCTACAGATCGTTGTGGGGAGGGGAATGGATGGAATTGGCGTAAAACTGTAAACCCTCAATCATTACAGATCGTGTACAGCGGGAACGGAAGCCGGGAGTTTACCTCTGGGTGGATTCTGCACACTGTGGTGAAACCGACGGCGTCAGAGCTTGAGGACATAACGAGGAACCCGCAGTCCACCCCCAGCATCAGACGGGGACGTCCCGCCTACACCACCAGCAACTTCTATCTGGAGGCCAACACCAGGTCAAGGTCATGTCCAGTGTTCCCGGAAACATCCATGTCAGTGCACCTCACTCCAACTACTTCGGGATGTTCCTGATATAATGTCTGAGAAGGCAGTCAGTGTGCACATTGCCTTTGAGCAGATCCGTCGCGACGCGTCATAAGTAGTCTCTTATTCATAAATATGAGATTGAAAATGGTACATGACTTGGGACACCAAGCTGATTGAATTTTGAAATGATGATGACTATGTGACAGTGTTAGTGTGGCTTGGCATTTGCAGAGAAAGCCAGCTTCTCAGGTTACACTTGTGCGTCAAGTGAAATCATCCCCTTCCCAGGAGTTCGAAATCCTTAAAGTCCATCTATCCCTGTTGAACAATCATCGTTTGTGTTTTTAAAAGAAATTTGATGTCTATGTATTATTTGGTGCTTTTTATTGTTGACGGTGTATTTCATTTTTTAAATATCAGTATGATATTTTGACATGTTGGTGTATTGGATTTTTATATATCTTCCTGGAGAGTCGGGGAAATCTGATAGTCAGAGTTTTCTTAGGATCAAACCAGTGGAACTGTTGGTCGTTGTGATTATTTTGACATACAAAGGGTATACTTAAAACAACATAACACGTCATTCAGTCGTGTGTATTACTGTGGCATCATGCAGTCATGTGTCTTTATGTGGCGCCATACAGTCACGTGGCGCCATGTGGCGTCATACAGTCATGTGGCGTCATACAGTCACGTGTATTCATGTGGCGTCATACAGTCACGTGTATTCATGTGGCGTCATACAGTCACGTGGCGCCATACAGTCACGTGTATTCATGTGGCGTCATACAGTCATGTGGCGCCATACAGTCACATGTATTCATGTGGCGTCATACAGTCACGTGTATTTATGTGGCGTCATACAGTCACGTGTATTCATGTGGCGTCAAACAGTCATGTGGCGCCATACAGTCACGTGCATTCATGTGGCGTCATACAGTCACGTGTATTCATGTGGCGTCATGCAGTCATGTGGCGCCATACAGTCACGTGTTTTCATGTGGCGCCATACAGTCACGTGTATTCATGTGGCGTCATGCAGTCATGTTGCGTTATTCAGTCACGTGTATTTATGTGGCGTCACACAGTCACGTATATTTTTGTGGCGTCACGCAGTCATGTTGCGTTATTCAGTCACGTGTATTCATGTGGAGTCACACAGTCACGTGTATTTATGTGGCGTCATGCAGTCATGTTGCGTTATTCAGTAACGTGTATTTATGTGGCGTCATACAGTCACGTGTATTTTTGTGGCGTCATACAGTCACGTGTATTTATGTGGCGTCATAGTCATGTTGTGTCATACAGTCATGTTGCGTCATACAGTCATGTGGCATCATAAAGTCACGTGTATTTATGTGGCATCATACAGTAACGTGTATTCATGTGGTGTCATAGTCATGTGGCGTCATACAGTCATGTGTATTTATGTGGCGTCATACAGTCATGTGGCGTCATACAGTCACGTGTATTTATGTGGCGTCATACAGTCATGTCACGTCATACAGTCACGTGTATTTATCTGGCGTCATACAGTCCTGTGGCGTCATACAGTCACGTCTATTTATGTGGCGTCACACAGTCATTTGGCGTCATACAGTCACGTGTATTCATGTGCTGTCATAGTCCTGTGGCGTCATACAGTCACGTGTATTTATGTGGCGTCATACAGTCATTTGGCGTCATACAGTCATGGGGCCAGCACATGCACCACCCAATTCCGATCTCAAAGATTAACCAGAATCCCTAATACAATCAGGCCTTTCTTTATTTTTACAGAAGGTATTTGACACAGGTTGAATTAATACCATGTGGATTCTCTAAAACTCAAATGATTTGTTGACTTTGTACAATCTCACAAAAGAACCAGACTGAATTCTGTCAAAACATTTGGTTTTTTTTCAATTATCTCAGACGACAAATTTAAGGGAAAACTTCACTCCTCGATCCATGGGGATTTTGTTACAGAACGCGGTGACCACAGATACAGTAACATATCTATCTTTAGAGGTTCAGGGCAATTTGTCGAAAATGAAAGCATTTGCCAATAAGAAAATAATATGTGAAATGCTGGACTTCCTCATTGATAACTTCTTTGTAAAATTTGGGGCGGTCGGGTAGTCTAGTGGTTAAAGCGTTCATTTCCCGACATGGGTACAATGTGTGAAGCCATTTTTCTGGTGTCCCCCGCCGTGATATTGCTGGAATATTGCTAAAAGCGGTGTAAAACCATACTCACTGACTCACTCACTTTGTAAAATTTTGGGGTAAGAGATTCAGGCAAGAAGTAGGCATCCCCATGGGCACCAACTGTGCTCCCCTTCTTCTGGATCTGTTTCCTTTTGCAAATCAATTAGAATTTCTGCTCGGATTGGCAAAGTCACAATAAAGTAATTTGGCCAAGAAGTTTAACCTAAGCCTCAGGTATATCGATGATCTGATTTCGTTCAATAACAGTCCCTTCCACCGAATTACCCACCTGAACTGGAAATAAAGGAGACCAGTGATACCGCCTCATCTGTTTCATATTTAGATCTATGCATACAGATTCAGGGTGACAAAACCCACTCCACAAGACTGCATGACATTTCACAACATGTGAGCTACAATCGAGCATGCTCTTTCTACCAAGATTTCAAAGTGCGTCATACAAGACTTACTCAGACGTTGTTTGATCAAGGTTACAACAGTCAAAGCCTCAGTAAAGCTTTCAAAACGTTTTATGGTTGGCATTTGGAGGACATTTCCAAATTTGAGACATCAGTGACAAAAATTATGTCCGATGCAATTCTCTTTTTTCACTTTGGACAAATGTTCCCGTGTTTTTTTCAGCTGACCAATTGACTTGCCTTTGGATTTGTGTGTGAGGGGTGACACCGGTGGTCCAGGACACGCTCACCTTTTCGCGAACACGTGGTATCATCTCCAGTTGATGTTGATTCATAAACACTTGCTCATGATATAGTCGGAATTGTAACATCGGCTCTCCTTTTTGCAGAGATTTCTTATGAATGTGAAAAGAGTTTTGTCGCTTTCATTTCCAAGAAATTAGAAAATATACAAGATCAATATAATGAGAAAGCGCCCTGAAACACAATGTATAGACATGGACCAATCATTGAGAAACCAGCATCTTGAATTCAGAAAGGGAGAAATAAAACGTACAGAATTAGTAAGTCAGATCTACAATGAAGTTTAGTGTTGTATACAACAGATGGTCTTTAAGTAAGAAATTTTTATGAAAATATTGTGTCTAAAATTTTGGGTCAACCTTCGTTCGGTTTACCAGGGAATCTGTATGATTTTATATACTCCAAGTTTTACCAAGGCCTGTTTCATATTCCCAAACTTTACCAGCGTGATAGTGAAGTACACATTATTGCCATGGCAACCCTGACTTGAGCAACCTATAGACATGAACCAGCAGTGAGTGACAGTCCGATCTATCAAACATCGAGACCACCGTCGAGAGTTGTCAGGTGCGGTGACCTCCCCTTGTAACAGGCAGATAACAGCCCTTGTAACAGCCCTATCGTAACTTATTGAGAACATCAGACAATAAGTTTTTGATCAAGCACACATTGCATCGATTTGTGAACTTAAAATAAAAACGACAAAAGTCTTTCCAATTTCAAAGAAATATCTGCTGAGAGCAGTCGATTACACAATTCCGGCTATATCACGAGTATGTGTTTATCAATCACTATCTACTAGTGATGACGTCTTGCCGAGTGACATCATTTTCATATTTTATCAGTGAATAAGTTTGAGATCAGGTCTTGCACCGATAGCAATGTCCAATATCCAAGCTGACAATGGGTATATTAGTTCTACATTCAATATACGATCTACACATGTGTCCATAGTTGAAGATAGTCTCTCCATAAATCTGGAAGTTACAATCGACAGCTAGCCCATATCTGTCTATCTATGGGTTTCTCAGTAGAATAAAGCCAAAGGAGAAAAACGATATCCGCACTGTCACTGTCCGATCATCACTTACCCTCTGACGTAATATATTTCATGCGCACATTCCAGGTAAACTTGTAATTTCTAGGTAATGTTTGGGTTCAATAGAATATTCCGTTTACAGTCATTGTTGGTAGGCATTCTTAATAATTGTATGTACACTCACAGGTTACAAAAACAAAGTTGCAGTTACTACAATATTCAAAGGATGTGTGGCAATACATTTTGCGCAGAAAACATGGAAGAGATCTACAAAGACTATGTGCCTCAAGAGATTTAAAATATGAATAAAACATTGCTTGCATGTTTGCAGTCTTAGAAAAGTCCTTTCAGAACATGTGGAAACTTCATTCTTTGACCCATGGGGCATACGTCCCTAAACGTGGTGACCATAGATATAGTCACATACCTGTTTGAGAGGTTCTGGCCAATCTGTCAAGAGAGAAAGCAAAGGGATTCTAAAGTGCATTGAGAAAAAATGGTGGACTTTCTCATTGATAATGGATCTTCATATGGAGATTTGCCAATCTTTGTAACCCTGTATCTGTGGGTTCACGTACTCTGACAGTTATCAGCAGCCGACATCCAACGTGCTCCAACTCTCCATAGTTTTCTTGGGCTTCAGCGATGGCGTTCTTGATTGACATTCAGGTAAGTGAGTGACTTGAAATATTACACCCCACTAGCAATAGACGTTCAGGTAAATTCAAACTTCAAATTTAAAGACGAATGTCGTTCTAATGTTGCTACGTGCACCTTATCTAGTGCAATCTAATCATTTTGGGGTCACTTGTTGCAGATGGTGATAAGTTTGTCGCCCAGGTATAACATATGAATGATGAGTATATTTATGACACAGCAAGTAAATAAAAGCGACAAAACCGCTCCCATATTCATAGAAATCTCTGCGTCGTTTCTACACTCCCAACTATACTAGCCACATAAAGAAACTGTGTACGGAGAAAATATATTCTGGATTGAAATACAACACAGCAAGAACAAAATGATGCATACGCTGTAGCAGCTGACTGATCGGACCATAAGAAAATGTCAACGGGACCTGAACAACATCTGTCACGATGACGTCAGAAGATCAAAATGGAGTAGGGGGTCAAACGACAAAGTCACAAAGTCAATAACGGGTATGAACACCCTGTGCGTGAATCACAGCAGTGCATCGGCGACGCATGGAGTCCACCAAATGGGCATGGAAAGCCTGGGGAATGGCCTGCCATATCCTCCTCAAATCCTGTGCCAAGTCACGGACGTTATCTGGAGGATGTGCACACATGCTCTATTGGGGAGAGATCTGGAGAAATTGCAGGCCATGTCAGTAACATGACATTGTTATGGTGAAGGAAATCCATTGCGACCCTAGCCGTGTGAGGACGAGCGTTGTCCTGTTGAAATGTCAATCCCGGGCCATGACGTTGCAGGAAAGGAATGACCACAGGCCTCAGAATCTGATCTCTGTAGCCAACACCGGTGAGATTGCCCTGAACAACCACCAAACGGGTTCGGTGCCGTGCTGTTATCCCACCCCAAATCATCACAGAGCCACCTCCAAAACGATTCCTCTCCACAATACAGTTGCGTGCAAAACGTTCTCCCAAACGCCGGTAGACACGTTGGCGCCCGTCACTGTGGGAAATGTTGAACCTCGATTCATCTGTAAAGACATCATTTCTCCACCATATTCGAGGTTGGCGAACATGATTTCGACACCATCTTAGACGGTTGACTCGATGACGATGTGTCAGGATGGGACGTATGGCAGGGCGTCGTGGTCGAATCCCGTACTGACGTAAACGATTCCTGACAGTGTTGGGATGGATACGGCGCCGTCCAGGAATTGTCTGGGACGTTGTTACTGCCGTTTGGAACCTGTTTCGGAGATGTGTAACTCGAATCCATCTGTCCTGTCTTGGCGTCGTTACTCGCAGACGTCCTGAACGTGGGTGGTCGGCAACGTCATTTGTGTTCTGATAACGCCTCACCAATGCCGATATCGTGTTACGATGGCATTGGAAATGTGTTGCCACCTGATGTTGCCTCATTCCCGCTCGGATCATTCCAATGGCTTCATGACGCTGTGCAGCTGTCAATCTTGGCATGATTTGCTTGTGATATGCTTGTGTCTGCGCTTGAGAATTTTTGAATTTTTGAATGACCACAGATCATGCTTTCCAAAGTGACAGCGAATTTTGAGTTGCACATGCTGTGTACAGCTGCACAGGATGCACGTGCAGTAACACATTGCACGTCCATAGGCCCCCATCAATGACGTCATATCGCATGGCACGTGCATGAGCGTTTGAATGTCTCCAATAATTGCTGTGTTCAAACCAATATTTCATATATGGACGGTGTGCCCTATATCTATTTTCTCCGTGCACAGTTTCTTTATGTGGCTAGTATATATCATGAGCAAATGTTTATGAATACCAGGTGTTCGCAAAAGGTGAGCGTATCCTGCCTCACCCGTGGCACCCGTCACAAACGCACGCAAAGGCAAGGCAATTTGTCACATGAACAAACACGGCAAAAAAATAGAATAGCAAATAAACTGACTTAAAAAGAAACTTTACCAGAGTTTGAAAACACTCTTGCTTAAAAACACAAAAAAACACACATGCATGAAGTAAGGTGTATTGAGAAGATCAATATATAAACACAATAAACACTGAAAATGACAATCATACCGCGACCGAGAATGACGTCAGAGCCCCCCAAAGTTTGGTGTGGTACAAAACTCGAGCTTTCAGAATCATTGACAATAGGCAGAGTACATAAACAATCGCTCATGTTCAATAACAAGTCATTAGTAGCGTGTGTGACCACCAAATGCCTCAATACACGCAAAAACGTTTCGACGCACAGAAAAAGCCAGTCGTCTGATGAGGTCACGTGGGATTTGACGCCATTCTTCTTGGAGGGCCAAGATCAGTTCTTGCCAGTTGGCTGGAGAGTGTGGTCGTTGTCGAACATCCATCCATCAAGTCCCAGGGACATATCGGGTGATCGTGCAGGCCACGGCAGGACGTTGACGTTGTTGGCTGCGAGGAAGTTAGTGACAAATCTGGCTGTATGGGCTCTAGCGTTGTCATACTGTTGGAGAAATTGTAGGACAACTGGATGAAGAATGTTATCCATGTAACGCTGAGCTGTCAAGTTTCCGTCAACGATGACCAGCCGTGTCCTCTCCTGCTTAGATCCCTCCCCACACCATGACACTCCCTCCACCATATGGTACGACCTCCTGCATGCAACACGCCGCAGTTCGTTCAACCCTTCGGCTGTAAACACGTTGTCTACCATCAGCCCTAAACATACAGAATCGACTTTCGTCAGTGAAGACAACCCTCTGCCAGTCACGTCGTTGCTACTCAATCGCAGACGACGATGTTGCGCCGTCAATAGCTTTCCTCTGTATGGTCTTAAAGCCAAGATTCCATGAGTCCTGAGTCTCCTGGCCACTGTCTGTCGACTAACCCTGTGACCTAAAGGATTTGTCGCTGATGACGTCACTGTCAGGAAGCGATTTCCGAGGTGCAAGCTACGCAAGTACCGGTCATCATGGGGCGTGGTCACCCTGGGTCTGTCTGCCTGTTCTTGGCCTGTGAGCGGTCCGCCCTGTCTGTCTGTAACGTTGCATCAAGTTGGTAACGGCAACACGGGAGCAACCGAAGCTTCGTGCAATATGGGCGTGGGTGGCTCCCATCTGTACCATACCCAAGGCTCGTTCACGTTGTTCGACTGTTCGTCGTGGCATTTCTTTTGCGTTTTTTATCACTGTGGATGTCTGACTTGCCGTTGCAATCGTTTTATACCCTTACCCGCACGTGCATCTGCACTTGTCCGTGGTGCTAGTGTTTTTTTACCTTTTGGCGTGTTATCTCGCAAACATGTAACAGACGAATTACATTTTCTGCATACACTTTTGTTGTATTTAGGTTATGTGTTTTAGAAAAAATGTATACTTTGTCTGAAATTTATATTTTCAGTTGGTAAAGTTTCTTTTGGACGTCAGTTAACACGTTTTTAACATCATAAGCCAAGCATGGTACGCATGCTTAACAATTATCTTTGTCAAAATACCAATAAGTGACAATTCTCTTATATTGAAAAAACTGTCATAAGAAATCTCCCAACATCCCCTCTCGCAGATTTATTTGGGGTTTGCGTTTAAGACCCAATACTAATTTACAAAACCTGTCATGAATTGTATCAACATCTGGGGATGGGTGGAAACCCCATACCTCAGATCCATGCAATAAAATTGGCATGATTTTTATATCAAAGATAGGAAGCTGTGTACGTATAGGCAGCTGTGGAAACATAGAAGATTTAGATAACTTTCAAGCGTGTTGTGCCAATACATTTTGGGTTTGAGTACCACGAGGCAGATAAGGAAAAGGTATGAAAAGTTTGAAGCACACCAACCCAATATTATTATATTACCAATATATACCAACTAAGATGTCTTGCAAACGACATATGACTTATTGTTGTGCCATTCATTGATCCCCATAAGCCATCTTCCAGTTTTGTGTTACTCATGTGTTATAGTTATAGAATATTAAAGGAGCGTCATGGTCGTGCGCTGAATGGAGTAACTTTCCCCTGCCCCGGGCTTTAGCACATGTGTGATGCTCCTTTGACTGGAGTAGTATAGGGAATGGGGGCTTGACCAGTTCCAGACCCTGGAAAAACTCCCATGGGGGATTATCAATCAAGTCAAAAGACAATTTCATTGAGCTTGTTTAGAGTAGGCATTATATATAAAAAAAACATGTTTTTAACTTTTTTTAATGAAATTAAGATAAGTAAACAAATCATACAGGATAACTTGATATATGTTGATAGCAGATAAACTTTACTAAAGTCCTCGTGGCTACTGAAAGGGAGCAGTGGCTATCTGCAGAGGTTTCCAGAGGCTGGCTCAAGAAGCGTGCATGCTATTTGGCAAATATAGCAGTGGGAATTATATGAATGTACCACTATAAACAGTGATGAAACAAGGCGTTCATGGAAAAGGTATACATGTCCTGTCCTATTGGTAGCACCCGCCACTCACACAATAAGAAATGGACAGCGGCACCAGAGCTTCCGTACTTACATGATATCAGTTGATATACTGTGGGGAGGGGTATGTCGGCAGTAAATTTACTGTCTTTGTTCCGCTCATCGTGCGAGCATATAATCCTCATTTTGCAGACAGGGACATCCTTGTGAAACGGCAAACAGTCGCTCCTGTAAACACAGCAAATGACAGTTTGGATGACTTTGTTTTGTGTTGGGAAGTACTTACCGATTTTTATTGATTTTGAAACAAAATTCCTGGTTGCTAGGGGCGGTTTTGCGCATCAGTTAGCGCACCCTATCAAACGTTCGTTCTGGTGTGTGGGTATAATGCATTCTTACTAAATGTACAATATCCGTTGCTCACATCTTTCACACACGTATTTTGTCTCAATGAGCTGTTTGATCACTGCAGCCTTTTTAATTATTTGAATCCAAGTATAATGATAACGTGAAGATATTTTTAAACAGAACTAAATTGAGTCTCTGGACATCAGGAGAACTTCCATTATGTACAGTACAATGGTTCCTTTTGTACCTTTAACATTTCAAAATACTTTATGGATAAACTGTTTTATGTTTCATGTTTTGCTATATGTGACATTGTGTGGGTGAATTGGTACAATCGTTTGACTCCAACTATACCATAAGATTTGTTTATAAATCACTATCAAAAAGTGGCTCCCCTCACAAACACATGCCAAGGCAAGTCAATTGTTCACCTGACAAAATCGGGAACATATTGTTCTTTTCGGAATAGGGAATTGCATCGGACATTAAATTTGGAAATGTCCTCCAAACGTTTGAAATCTTTATTGAGGCCTAGAATCTTGTAACCTTGATCAAACAACTTTCGATCATGTGACTCTCTTTGAAATCTTCGTAGAGATCACGCTCGACTGCACCTCTAAATTTGTGAAATATAAATGTCGCAGAGGCTTATGCAGGGTAATGGAGACACAAAAGCATGCTGTTTTTACAACTGGATTTATTCCAATGATGGTCCACAATCAGTGGTTATGATGATGAAGATGAAGAAGATGAAACCCTAAAACACAATATTTACAAAATGTAGGCAAACATCATAACCAATAGATCATTAAAAGAATACTGCCATTATATATCTATTACATGTGTTTGATATACCAATCAATAAGATATAATGTTAACGCTTACTTTACATTTAGTACAGTAAAACATGTTATGGCGGATATCTCCTTAGTGAGGATGATATCACTGAATACACTACAAAGCAATATGACATTACAATAGTCTAGACAATTATGCCATGACGTGTTGACATAAATATACGTATAACTAAGGGAAGTAACCCTCACCTCGTCTAAGGGACGGAGGCCAAACCACCAGATGGCATCAAAACTGGTCATGCAGTATCTTACGTGACCTGATAAATGATATATAACTACATGAATCTTACTGGTATGGTAAACATCACATACATTGCATACATGGCATGAGAAAATCATCTAGCAGTATAACAATCAACATTTTTAGGCATTTCATATGTATGATAAAATCAACAAATATACTGTTTTGGTATTTTACACCTTTATGATAAAATAGTACCAATACATGCTTAAATCTAGTACACTCATTATGCATATACCTCAGTGGTAACATCTTACAATATTTAAATATATATTGCACTAACATGAATATACTGATAATTCATGTTTATAACATATACATGATATACTGTTCTTATGGAACATAAATGACTTAATATGAGTGTACTAAAATACATTATATATACTAGAAACCTAAGTACAATGATAATAAATATATTTAACTCACCCCAAACTGAATGGTCCTTTCCCAGTGAGAGTTGTGACTAGAAATGGTGCACATAGTAAAGGTATGAAGTACATGACCAAGGTGGTCATGTGACGCGGGAAATACAAAGCCAGGCCAAGCTGACCGGCAGAGAACAATAAGCTAGGCTGAGACCGCAGTAGCCTTAGCACAAAGAATCAATCACCACATGTTAGATTATGTTACTGAGGTGTGAGTTAGTGGACTAAGTAAACTAATTTATTTAATAAATACAATAAAATACCTATGTTTTGGATAAGTTTATACTAAACTACTTTTAAAATAATCCCAAATATATACATCCTGCCACATACTCCCCCCTATTGTGAAATGGCGTCCCGGCATTTCCTGAAACAAACACAAATACAGATATCAGGCTTTATACAAATTCACAATCAGAGGTGTAGAATTCTAAGAATTTGTGACCAGTGAGAGTATGGCTCTGTAGGCATCGGCGGGGAGGTCCTTCAATGTTCCATTTTCTGCTAGCGATCTCAGGTAGTTGGCTCTTCTCTCCCAATCTGCTGGTGGTACCACTGTTTGTGCCATAGCATACTCACCACTGGTGATCCAAGCTGGTTGACGTCTTTCTCTTCCAGATCGTCTTGGTGGCGTCGAAGGAGAAGGTGCTGTCTCCTCATTGGTTGGCAGGCTTTCTTCAGAGTGAATTTCTCCCTCTGTTGGAACATTTCCTTCCTTTGGTAATGTCTCCTCTTCGTCCCCAGGTTGCACCTGAGGCTCTGTCTCACCTGTCTGTGTCACATCCTCCTCCCTCCCCTGAATCGCGGCATCAGGTAAACTCGCTGTAGAGTGGTCCTGATCCAAAACTGTTTCAGTGGATTCATCTTCAGCAATCTCAGCACTGTTCCCTTCAACAGCGATGACTGAAGTCTTCGGGACTGACTCAGCAGGTGGAACTTCTGTCACTAGTAGAGTTACATCTACTTCACCAACGACACTGTCGCAATCAGTTGAGTTTGGCTCTTCTGTGCTGACAACTGTCTGGTCCTTATTTCCTTCCTGTTCCTGCCTTCTTTTCCTTGGCGCTGGTGTTGGTCGTTGTTGAGATGATGGTAACAAGGAGCCGATGGGCAACAAGAGATTCCGGTGTAAGGTCCTCTTCTTCCCATCACCATTCTCCTTCTGGACGACATAGACGGGTATCTCAGGATTCGGTTGACTTTCCACAATGTAAGTGTCCTCTTCCCATCTGTCAGCAATCTTATGCTTACCATCAAAAGCAACCACCTTGACTAGAACTCTGTCTCCCTGATCTTGAGATCATAGTTCTTCTTCTGCTGTTGTCTTGCCTTCTCTGCTGCTGTGGCTGCTGTCTGGTAGGAGTCCGAAAGTCTCTTCCTTAGACAGTGCACATAATCAGTGAGAGATTTCCTTTCTTCTGGCCTGTCTATCCCAAAGGCAAGATCAACTGGCAGTCTAGGCTGTCTACCAAACATCAAAAAGAAAGGGCTCTCTCCTGTAGAGTCATGTTGAGTGCTGTTATAGGCATGGACAAGGCTTGCTACATGGGATTTCCAGTCTGTCTTCTTCGTTGGCTCCAATGTTCCTAACATGTCAAGCAGAGTACGATTAAATCGCTCGCACATGCCATTTCCTTGGGGGTGATACGGTGTTGTCCTCGATTTGTCAATTCCAGCCACTTGACACAGTTCCTTCACTAGTCGACTCTCAAAGTTGGCACCTTGATCAGAATGTATCCTTTGAGGAAAACCGTAGTGTACGAAGAAACTGTTAAAAAGGACTTCTGCGGTCGTAAGGGCAGTCATGTTTCTTGTAGGGAATGCTTGTGCATAACGAGTGAAATGGTCCGTAAGTACCAAGATGTTCTGGTATCCACCTTTTGATATTTCCAAGGTCAAGAAGTCGATGCAGACCATCTCCAGTGGCTGACTAGTTCTGATGTTATGCAGTGGAGCTCTTGCATTAGTTGGGATCTTTCTCCTGATGCATCTCTCACAGCTCTTGATCCATAGATCGACATCACGTGACATCCCTGGCCAGTAAAATCGATCTCTACACAGGGATAAGGTATGTTCCCGTCCAAGGTGGCCAACATCATCATGTAGTCCTCTTAGAGCCTTGTTCCTAAACGCAACTGGTAGTACAAGTTGCCTCTTCTCCTTGCCATTGATGTTGGTACATCTATAAAGCACTCCATGGTGTAGTTGTAAGTGGTCTACCTCCCGGCGAAGATTTACTGGGACATCTGGTCTCCTCCTGTTATGAAGATTTGCAATAATAGGACCTAGTTCAGGATCTCTGCGCTGAGCCTTGTGCCAATCTCGTGTAGATAGACTTGATAGTTCACTGCCATTTTCATCTTCATCAATAACTTCTGCACTGAAACAGAGACTCTCCACGTAGTTCCTTGGTTGCAAACTTCCACAAATGGCTTGCACTTCATCTGTTGCAATGTCTCTGTCTTCAGTCTTTGGCAGTCTGGATAAGGCATCAGCATCTGTGTTCCCTTTGCCTGGCTTATACTTGATGTTGAAGTCAAAGGAAGCTAGGGCTGCTAACCAGCGATGTCCAGTGGCGTCCAGCTTTGCAGATGTTAGGACATAAGTAAGAGGATTGTTGTCGGTGTAGACAGTAAAGTTGTGTCCGTACAGTTAGTCATAGAACTTCTCTGTTACTGCCCATTTCAGTGCTAGAAACTCTAACTTATGCGCTGGATAATTCTTCTCTGCCTTGTTGACTCCTCGGCTGGCATAAGCTATAACTTGCTTTGTTCCTTCTTGCTCCTGGTACAGCACTGCTCCTAATCCAAAAGAACTTGCATCAGTGTGTAGCTCAAAGGGCTTGCAATAATCTGGATACCCAAGGATTGGAGGTGATGTAAGGGCATCCTTCAGCTTCTGGAATGCAGCTTGCTGACTAGTCCCCCAATGCCAGGGTAATCTTGCTTCCGGCTTCTTTCCTTTCGGTCCTTTCTTCTTCACTGTTGGAGGTAAGAGATCACTAAGTGGTCGGGCTATGTTGGAAAAGCTCTTCACAAATTTCCGGTAATAGCCAGCAAAGCCAAGAAACCGGCGAACTTCTTCAGGGTTGCATGGAGTAGGCCAGTTCACAATCTTTTCAGTTTTAGCAGGATCTGTCTGGATCCCCTCAGCTGAAACAATGTGACCAACAAACTTCACCTTCTCCTTGAAGAATTCACATTTTTGGGGGTTCAGCTTGATTCCACTCTCCCGTAGTCTCTGTAGGATCTTCTCTAGTCTGACTAGGTGGTCCTCAAAGGTGTTGGAGAAGACGATGAGATCATCTAAGTAGATCATACAAAGTTCGA